CTCGGCCGCGGCCTTGGCGTGCTTCGACGCCGCGCGCAGGGACGCCTTCGTCGGGCGGTCGATGGGCGCGTCGGGCCGGGGCTTCGGCGGCGGCGGCGCGCGCGCGCTGAGCTCGGCCTCGAGCGCCGCGCGCGCGCTCGCGACGTCCGCGGCCTCGGCGTCGCGCCGCGCCTCGACGGCGGCGGCGCGCGCGGCGGCCTGCGTCGCGCGCTTCTCGGCCTCGGCCTCGTCGCGGGCCGCGGCCCTCGCGGCCGTCGCTTTCGCCGTCGCCCAGGACATGGCGCCCTTGTCCGAGACCCGGGGCACGGACCGGACCTCGCTCAGCGCGTCGGCCTTGCGCTCCGCGCGCCGCGCGTCGCGCAGGGCCTGCTTCTCCTGGAGCCAGGCGGCGGACCGCGCCGCGACGTCGCTGTCCTGGGACGGCGGCGCGGCGGCGCGGTACATGACGGGCAGCGGCTTCGCGACGAACGGCGCCTGCGCCGGCGGCGGCGGCGCGCGGCGGAGCCGCGCGGGCGGCGCGTGGGGCTGGGCGAGGCGCTCGACGTACTCCGGCGTCGGCGACGGCGGCCCGGATGTGCGGCCGTTGGTCCGGTCCGGCGGCTTCGCGAAGGACCGCTCGAGGTCGCGGATCTCGCGCGCGTCGCGCTCCCTGAGGACGACGGACCCGGCGGCCGCGCGGTGCTTGCTCTCGCGCTTGAGTTTCGCGCAGGCCCGCAGGCCCTCCTCGTAGAGGTCCTGGTGGCCGATGACCGTCGACTCCTCCGCGAGGGGGCCCGGCGACGGCGGCGCGTCGCCGTCGCCGGCGCGGGGCGCGTCGTACGCGTAGCGGTCCGGGACGTCGACGCCCGTGAGGAAGCAGGACTCGCCGTCGTCGACGACGCCGCCGAGGCGCTGGCCGCCCGCGGGGTCCAGCGGCGGCAGGCTCACGTTCTGGTGCTTCGCGGGGCTCGCCGCCGGACGCGCGAAGCCGAACGCGTCGGCCGCCGCGGCCGCGGCCTCGGCGGCGGCGGCCTCGTCGGCCGCGCGCTCCGCCTCGGCCTCGTTCGCCAGGTACCGGCCGAAGATGCGGTTGTCCTTCTCGAGCAGGTCGATGATCTCGTGGGCCGCCGCCATGCCCTCCGTGGCCTTGTCCATGAACTCCCAGATCGTCGCCGCCCGCTTCTTGTTCCGCTGGAGGCCGAAGCCGCTCGACCGGGGGCGACGCGGCTGCGTCGGCTTGAGGCCGCCGTGGTCGTCGAAGGTCACCATGGTCGGGGTCCGAGAGCTTACGGCTGCCCCGGCGCCATACGCTCTACCGGTTGGCGAGGTCGGCGCGCCGGCATCAAGGGCTTCATCTCTCACCTTCAAGGGGCAGCCTTCTGCGAGGCACTCAGAAAGGTTCATACGAGCGTCGTCCGTGCGCGGGCTCGATAAATTTCCCATGGGGAACACGCTCACGGGGGAGGAGGGCGCCTCGGGCGGCGCCGAGGCGCCCGCGCCGGCGGCCGACGCCGCCGCCGGGGCGTCGGCGCCCGCGGCTGCCCCGGCGGCCCCTCAGGCGGCGCCCGCGCCGCCGCCGGCGCCGGTGGCGCCGCCGCCGGCGCCGGTGGCGCCGCCGCCGGCGCCGGTGGCGCCGCCGCCGGCGCCGACGCCCGTCGTGCCCGCGGCGCGGCCGAAGCCCGTGGAGAAGCCCGCGGCCGCGCCCGCGGCCGCGGTCACGGCCGCCGCGCGGCCGACGCCCGTGCTCCGCGGCGGCGGCGACGGCGGCGCCGGGTCGACGATCCCGCGCGTCACGCTCGAGCGCCAGCAGCGCGCCGCGCCGCGGAACCGGCCCGTGATCCCCGCGAAGCAGCGCATCGCGCCCATCTCGCTGTCGATCCCGAGCCCGATCCTCGAGGGCGCGCCGCGGAGCCCCGCGTCCGGCGGCTCGACGCCGCGCGGCGGCGGCGGCTCGCCGACGTCGCCGAACCCGGCGACGACGCCGCGGGAGCAGGCCATGCGGAACAACGCGCGCGGGCGGCCCATGCTCTCGGGGAAGATCCTCAAGAACGTGCTCGACAGCAAGCCCGGCCCGGGGTCGCCCCAGACGCCCCAGACGCCCGTGGGCGTCGGGCGCCAGGTGTTGGTCAAGCTCGCGCCCAACGACAAGGAGGTCTACTACTTCATCCTCGTGACGACGCCCCGCGAGCGCGAGCAGGTCTTCGCGTTCCGGCGGAAGATCGGCATGCAGGTCTACAGCACCGCGGAGGAGTCGGGGGACTTCGCGGACGCCTACGACGACGGCGCGGTCCACATCGGCGTCTGGAAGGAGGTCCAGGGCAACCGGGGCATGCTCGAGAAGGAGCCCTGGGCCTACGCGCGCGGCCACATGACCGCGTCGAACAGCCCGCTCAAGCACTACGACTTCCCGCTGCCGCGCGTCGTCGAGCGCATGAGCGACTGCATCTTCATCGACCACATCCTCGTGAGCGTCGACAAGCCTCGGAACGCGGCCCTGAAGATGGAGCACAAGACGGGCGTCTGGGAGTACATGAAGCAGAGCTCCATCTTTTTGGTGCTGGGGCTCCTCCAGGCGATGGCGCGGACGCGCCAGGTCATGAACGGCACGAAGTGGATCTTCCTCTGCGCGTCGCCGAACTCGCCCGTCGCCGCGAAGCTCGCCGACGACGGCGTCAAGCCCGTCAAGTCGCTGTCCGTGAAGCCGTCCGCGCCGGCGTTCTACCAGTACTCGCGGTGCCTCCACCTCGCGTCGACGTCCGTGCAGTACTTCCAGGACTCGCGGCGCCGCCCGTCCGTGAAGCTGCCCATGTCGAGCCGCCTCGACCCCACGGTCGAGCAGCAGATCGGCGCGCTGCCGCTGCCGACGAAGCGCGCGGCGCGCGTCGTCGGCGGCGACGGCGAGTCCTACACGATCTTCAAGTTCGGCCAGTCCATGGAGAGCGTCTACCACATCCGCGTGCTGCGCAAGGAGGTGGACCTCCTGGCCGCGGCGGACCTGCGGGAGCGCATGTCGAAGATGACCGCGGGCGACGGCGGCAACCCCGCGGGCACGTTCGCGGTGTTGGACCAGTACGAGAAGACGGCGATCCACCTGGGCTTCTACAAGGAGGTGCAGCGCAACGTGCTGGGCAAGATGATGGGCACGGCGCGCGTCCACGTCGACCTCCTCGAGTCGCCCGCGCCCTACCAGTACGACCTGGACCTGCCGCCGGAGCTCACGGCGGACACGCCCGCGTTCGTGGACCACGTCTGGTTCGACTACCCGTCCCTGGGCATGAAGGGCTACAAGGCCATCCACGCCCAGTTCACCATGTTCATCCGGGGCCTGACGCAGTGCCTCACGAACATCCCGGACCTCGCGTCGAAGAAGAGCGACTACGTCCTGTTCTGCGCGTCGCCGAACCCCGTGAACATGGAGGAGGAGATCGACATGACGGTCTTCAAGGAGGCGGCCAAGTGCTTCCCGAAGCCCACCTGCGACGCCTACTACAAGATATTCTCCAAGATCCAGTACGCGAAGCTCAAGGAGATCTCGTTCACGGCCTCGAACCGGCGGCCCTCCATCAACCTCGGCCGCAACCGCCGCCCGTCCTTCAAGGCCGACGAGCGCCTCAAGATCGAGGCCCGCATGTACAAACCCGCCCTCGAGACCGTCGCGGGCTCGCCCCGCGACCCGGACCGCAAGCCCCTCGCCAAGACCGGCCGCACGCCCTCGGAGACGCGGCTCCTCGGCCTCTCGCCCGAGACGCCATGAGCGGCGGCGCGCGACGCCGCCCCCTCGCTCCCGCGCGCCCCGGCATCTGCGCGGCCTCCGTCGACCGCGCGCCCTTATCTTCTCTCGAGGTCCACCGGGGGTGGTGTCGCATTTCCCTCGAGGTCCACATCCTCGGCGGCCGCCAGATGCGCTGGCCGCCGGGCTAGGCGCCTTAGAGCGGCGACGCGCGGTGCCTCCGGCGCCTCTTCTTGCGCGCGAGGCGCCGGCACGGCGGCGCGTCCGCGTTGGACCCGTGGGAGCAAAAGTACTCGTGGGCCTCGCGGAGCTCGTCGGCGTCGGGGGGCGCGTCGTCGGCGCTCCACTTCACGCAGAACTCGCTGGCGCTGCGGTCGCCGACGCACCACATGGCGCGCATCTCGTCGAGGGACCGCTGCGCGGCGCGTCGGCGGTAATCGATCTCGTCGTCGGCCAAGTCGTTGCGCGCCGTGAACGCGCTGGCGGACGCGATCGCCAGCGCGACGAGACGTCGCATGGCTCGCGGCGGGCAGCGGCAGCGGAGGACGTCAAGCTGCGGCGGGATGGCTGCCCCGTTCAAGATGGGTTCAATAAGAGTTCAATCAGCACTCCCGGCAAAGCGCGGGCTGGGGCTGCCTCCACGCTCGAGGACGATGGCCGTCTTCATCGAAGGCGGCGATTTATACCTCCAAATCATCCGCGGCGAACGCCTCGCGGCCAAGGACCAGAATTTGACGACGGCGAACTCGTCCGATCCCTTCGTCATCGTCGAGATCCAGCAGGGCACGGGCTGGCGCGAGGTCGCGCGGACGCCGGTCTATTTTACGGCGTGGTTGTGCGTCGTCTTCTTCGCGCACCCCCGCACCCCGCGCAGGTCGTCACGCAGAACCTCAACCCCATCTGGAGCTTCTCCACGACGCTCGCGCTCGACGCCGAGGGCGTCGTCCGGCTCCGGCTCCTCGACTGGGACGAGATCAGCGCGAACGACCCCATGGGCGAGGCGCGGTTCCGGGCGTCGGACGTGCCGGCGTCGGCGGTCCACCGGGGCTCGCCGAACACGTGGCTGCCCGTCACGCCGACGGACGGCTGCCGCTGCTCGGGCCGGCTGCTCGCGCGCTACGAATGGGCGCGGCACCGGCCCGTGGCCGTGCCCGCGTCGATGAAGAAGACGCTGCGGCGCCTCGAGCGCATGCCCAAGCTGTCGCCCGGGCCCGCGCTGCAGACGTCGTGGCTCGCGAAGCCGGAAAAGCAAAGGGAGAAAATCGCGGAGATGGTCCGAACCGCGGTCTGCCCCGTCTTCTTCCACGTCTACGACGTCGGCAAGTCGAAGCACATCCGCCGGTTGAACCGCGTGACCGAGGTCGTCGGCGGCGGCGTGTTCCACGGCGCCATCGAGGTCTGCGGCGCGGAGTTCAGCTTCGGCGGCTGCCGCGCGCAGCGGAGCGGCGTCTTCAAGTGCGAGCCGACGAAGTGCCCCATGCACGGGTACCGGGAGTCGGCCTACCTCGGGGACTGCGGCCTGAAGCCGCCCCAGGTCCAGGCGATCCTCGCGGCGCTGTCGCCGAACTGGTACGGGCCGACCTACGACCTCATCCGCAAGAACTGCTGCTCGTTTTCCAAGGCCTTCGCCGTCGAGCTCGGCGTCGGCCCCGTGCCCGCCTGGTCCCACCGCCTCGCCGACGCGGGCGCCGCGCTCGGGGTCATGAAGAAGACCGTCGAGGACGACGACATCGACGACGTCCTCTTCGAGCACGTCATGGCCGTGCGCCTCCAGCGCGGCTTCCGCGCGCGGAAGGAGGCGCGGGAAAAGGCGAAACTCGAGGCGAGCCGGCACCGCGAGGCCGCGCGCGCGGCGATCTAATCCGGCTTACCCGTCGTCGACGGGCCGCGCGACGGGGTGGATCCGCAGCCCGACGAAGAGGCGATCCAGCAGCGTCCGCCGCCGGGGCGCGACGACGTCGGCGAGGGGCGGCTCGGCGTCCACCGCCTCGGCGACGGCGACCGTCCGCCGCGCCTTCGGCGGACGCTTCGACGACGACCGGATCGTCACCTTTCGGAGCGTCTGCCGCAGGCGCTGGTGCCACGGGGGGTCGGCCTCCGGCTTCGCGCGCCAGCGACGGAATTCTGGGTTGTGCACCTGGTTGTCCCGGGCTTCTCGGCTGAGCCGCCGCTCGCGCTGGTACGGGTTCTCCTGCCGCTGCATGTATTCCTGCTCGTAGCGGCTCGGCTCGGGCCGCCGCGATCGCCGCGCGCCCATGCCGCGGACGGCGACGCCGGGCATGTTGCGCGTGGGCTACGGCCTAGGTGTTTAGGCGCCGACCAGCTTTAGACGCTGCCCAAGCGGGCTAGGCGTTCAAGCGCTGACCAGCTTAGGCGCAGCCCAAGCGTTCCTGAAGGATTCCATCGTGCCCCGCCGGACGATGTGGCCGGCATCTTGCCTCCTTCGATGAAGGTGCACCTTTTTGTGTAATCGACGCCTTTCCGAGATCGACGTGCGAGGCCTTGAGCCGCGTTTCGATCACCAATGGCGGCGCCCCTGGCGCCCATGGAGCCCCGGCTCATCGAGGGCACGCTCGCCTCGGTCATGAACCCCGACGGCGTCGTCGCGCGCAGCGGCGTCGGGCGGCGGGGGCCGCGCGCGCGCCGCTTTCGCAGCCGATTTCCTTTCACCGCCGCTCGCTCGCCGCAGGTCCGGCGCAAGAAGGAGCCGTCGTCCATGCAGCTCCGGAAGAACGGCGTGCTGCCCTTCCAGTCCGCGGTCTGGTGCCACGAGACGGAGGTGCGCCGCCCCCCGCCCTTTGAAACCTCCGAAACGCTAAAACGCTCTCGCGCAGGTCGTCGACGGCGTCGAGCGCGTGCACATCAAGCACCCCTGCCAGGGCTGGATCAACAAGGACGAGATCATCGTCGGGCAGATCGCCATCATCAACTCGCTCGTCGGCGCGACGGTGCGCGAGGACATCGAGATCGACTCGCCCGTCGTCGGCGAATTGCCCTACGAGTCGCGCGTCTTCATCACGGAGCAGGACGAGACGAAGGACGGCAAGCCGCGGGCCTGCGTCTTCGCGCCGCTCCAGGGCTGGGTGAGCGTCAAGTGCCTCGCGCCCATCTGCGACCGCATGGGCGACGTCCTCGCCGCGGGCAAGAAGGTCCTCGAGCCGACGGACGTCGAGGGCAAGAACGTCGTCTTCTCCCACTACACGGAGGTGAACCACGAGCTCATGTACAAGGCGCTCTGGGACAGCGGGCTCATGTACGGCCCGGGCTTCCAGCTCTGCAAGAAGGCGTTCCGCACGGACACGGACGCGATCGGCATGGTCGGGCCGCTGCCGGGCGAGGCCGTCGGCTGGCTCGTCCACCCGGCGCTCGCCGACTCCATGCTCCACCTCACGGCCGTCGCGCCCAAGCCCCCGGAGGGCGGCTGGCCCTGGATGTCCGAGGACGAGCGCGAGGGCCGCGTCAAGGGCATCAACGACTAGGCGCCCGAGCCGCGCGCCGCCATCTTTGCCACCCGGCGGCCGCGCCACGGACCCGCGCGCGAGCCTAAATACCCCTCTTCGTCGCACCTTACGACGCGGCCTCGCGCGCGCGGCGCGCGCTCTTGATCGTGGGCACGTGTCGCCGCGGCGCCGCGGCCCCCGAGCACGGCAGGCACTCCATGGTCATCTCGCCGCAGAAGATGGGCGCGCCCTCGGCGCCCGAGCCGCCGCCGCCGAAGGACGCGAGGCCCCCGGATTGGATGAGGACGAGCACGGCCGCCTTGCTGACATGGCCCTCGCCGTCGGCCATGGACGCGTACTTTTCCTCGTCCCACTGTTCGCCCGCCTTCGCCGCGAGGGCCTCCAACTGTGTACGGTCCAGGGTCTCCGGCAGCTCCTGCGCCCCCATCGATGCCCCGGCCCCCATGGTGCCAAACGCCGGACCAAATCGATGCGCGTCCGAACTAGCTGGATTGCAGCGAGCAAACGGGGCAGCCTCTGTTCAAGTAAATCTTCAAATTAGGGCCTGCCGGGAACGAGCTCGCAGGCGCGCCGGTCCGCGTCGGCCTCGGGCGCCTTGCACCTACAACGTGCGACGGGTTTCTGGCCGCGCTGCCAGGCGAAAAAAAACGCGCGAATAAGCGCGGCGCCGCCTCGCGCCGCTCCGTCCAGACGCGCAGCGGCTGATCGAGCATGGTCCGGTCCCGCGGGCACGCGGCCTTGCACCTCGGATCGTGGTTCGCCGGGAAGAGGAGCTTCGCCTCGGGGCAGAGGTCGAGCAGCTTCGAGCGGTTCGCGTGGGGCACCGTGCGCATGAGGTGGTAGACGCCGACCGGCGGCTCGCCGCGCGCGGCGTCGAAGATCTCCTCCGTCGCGAAGCGCTCGGACACGTTCCGCGGCGCCAGGCGCGCCGCGCGGCCGAGCGCCGGGAGGTGGCCCGCCTTGGCGAACTCGGACACGAACCACATGTCCTCGTTGCCCTTGTCCCGCGGCGCCGCGACCTCGAGAAGCGCGACGACCGCGTCGCGGTTCCGCAGCGACAGCGCGCCGTTGCCGCCGCGGGCGTGGGCCGCGCCGGGCTTCGCCCAGAGCCAGGGCGCGCCGACCCAGTCGTAGGCGTCGAACGCGTCGAGGCCGAGCGGCGACCTACCGCGAGCGCGCGCGTGTCCATCTCCCGAAGGTCGTCGCGGGACGCCGGCGGCGACCGCCCGCAGAGCACCGTGGACCCGGGCTCGAACCAGAGCACGCGGCTCGCGCGGAGCGACCGCCAGAACGCGGCGCTGAGGAGGAGCGCGCGCTGCGTCGCCGCCGCGAGCGCGCCCGGCAGCGCCACCGCGCCGACGCGGTCGACGCCGCGGACGCCGCGGAGGACGTCGCGGACGGCCGGCGTCGACGCCTCGCCGCCGCGGTAGTAGACGTCGACGCCGAGCCACGCGCGCGGCAGCGCCGCGGCGACGAGCCGCGCCTGCGCCAAAATCACGGGCGCCTTGCCCCGCGGGCCGACGACGGTCACGGCGACGCCGCCCGCCCGCCTCGCCGGCGCTGCTTCGGGACAGGCTTTCGGGCAGGGCGCGCAGGCGGCTTTGGGACAGGCGGCTGCTTTGGGACAGGCGGCTGCTTTGGGGCTGGGCGCGCACGCGGCTGCATTGGGCGCGCAGGCCGGACACGGTCGCTGCAGCGAGGCAGCCTCGTGGTGCAGCGTGCGATGCAGCGACGACAGGTTGCCGATCAAGAAGCCGACGCACGCGAACGCGATGCGCTGGACCAGCTCGTGGCGCATGGTGGCATCACATCGCGCGGGGCAACATGGGGCACCGAGCCAAAGGAGCAGAAAGTGCTAAAACGGTGCACCCGAGCCGGCTTGAGCAACAGGCGCTCGCAGTGCATCGCGGCTGTGGTCGTCCCGGGTGGGTCGTCCCGACGCGCGCCGTTGCATCGCGCGGCCCGTTGCATCGCGCGGACATCGTGAAAAGCGGCTGTGGTCGTCCCGGGTGGTCGTCCCGACGCGCGCCGTTGCATCGCGCGGACCGTTGCATCGCGCGGACATCGTGAAAAGCATGGCCGACGCCAAGCCGAAAGGGCAGAAGGCGTCGGAGGTCGCGGAGCTGAAGAAGCAGATGGAGCTCATGCAGTCCATGCTCGAGACGCAGCGCAAGGAGATCGAGGCCATGCGCGCCAAGAAGAACGCGACCAAGGCCGCGTCGCCGCGCAAGGCGGCGTCGCCCAAGGCCGCGGCGACGCCGACGCGGCGGCGGTCCCACGGCGCCGCGGCGTCGCCCGCGGACCGCGACGCGGAGCCGTCGCGCGTGCTCCACGTCCGGGACCTGCCCGCGGACGCGACGAGCGGCGAGCTCGAGGCCCTGCTCGCGCGCTTCGCGCCCATCGAGAAGGTCGTGACCCTCGAGGGCAAGCGGCAGGCGCTCGTGCAGCTCGGCTCCGTCGCGGCGGCGGCGAACGCGCTCACGTGCTTCCGGGCCGTGCCCGCGGCCATCCGCGACCAGACCGTGGCCTTCTGCTACAGCACGCGCAAGTCGCTCACGGCGTCGCCGCGGAAGCAGGCCTCCTACGCGGCGCCCGTCGGCAGCCCCATCGTCCTCATGCCGCTTCCGGCGGGCGCGCCGCCGCGGCCCTTTGGGTTCCCGCCGCCGATGCAGCAGATGCCGCAGCAGCTCCAGCCCATCCCGCTCCAGCCCATCGGCCGCGGCTTCCCGCCGCCCAGGCCCTTTGGCGCCGCGCCGCCGCCCTTTGGGGCGCCGCCGCCCTTCGGCGCGCCGCCGCCCTTTGGGGCGCCGCCGCCCTTCGGCGCGCCGCCGCCCTTCGGCGCGCCGCCGCCCTTCGGCGCGCCGCGGCCCTACCGGTCCCAGCCGCCGAACGAGCGACGGCGGCAGCGGCCCGAGAAGCGGCGGCGCGACTCCAGCCCGCGCGCCGCGCCCGCGCCCGCGCCCGCGCCCGCGGCGCCGGACGTCGACGAGGCCGCGGACGACCGGCGGCGGAAGCGGCGCTACGGCGGCGACGACGAGAGCGACGACGAGAGCGACGACGACTAAGGGCCTTTAGTCGATCGCGGGCGCGTCCTGGAGGTAGCCGAAGCGCGCGTCGTAGTCGTCGACGAGCTCGCAGAGCGCCTCGACCGCGGCGGCGACGTCGTCGCCCTCGAGCCCCGCGGCCTCGTAGCGGTGGAGGAAGGCGCGGGCGCCGCGCAGCTTCTCGACCTTGTCGACGTAGCCGACGACGAGCGCCGGCGCGAGGTTGAGGCACGCGACCGCCGCGAGCGCGCGGCGCCGCGGGTTCGCGCCGCCGTCGCCCCTGGCCGCGGCGAGCGCCGGCCCGCCGCTCAGCGACGTCGACCGCGGCTCGAAGAGGACCGCGCCCGGCGCGCCGCGCCGCAGGTCCGGGTTGAGCCGGCGCCGGAGCGCGCCGAGCGGCGGCCGGAAACTCGCGGACGCCGCGCCGCGGACGACGGCCGCCGCCGCGCACGCGAGCACCGGCCGGTCGAGCACGGCGTCGGCGCGCGGGTAGGCGTCGGCGAGGCGGATGGCGAGCTTGGCCCAGTCGCCGGCGTCCGCGCGCGCCGCGTGCGCCGGCCGCGAGAGCGTCGACCTCGCGTCCAAGAGGAAGAGCCGCGGGTCGGGCCGCGCCTTGGCCACGACGTCGCGGTCGCCGCGGAAGGCGACGTCCACGAGACGGTCGCCGAGCCAGTCGCGCCGCGGCAGGGTCAGCGCCGCCAGGTCGAGCGCGAAGGGCGCCGCGTCCGCGGCCGGCGCCGCGCGCCGCTCGTCCTTCGCCTCGACTTCCCGCAGGTCGCGCCAGAGCGTCGCGTCGCTGAACTCGCGGAGCTGCTGCAGGGCGAAGGCCGCGTTGTAGGGCGCGAGGGGCGACCCGAAGCCCCGGCGGCTCGTGACCGCGCCGAGCATCGTCGCGGCCGGGTAGTCGTCGCGGCAGTTTTGGCAGAGCGCGGCCGCGAGGCCCGCGGAGCCGCCCTCGAGGTCGAAGGCGAGCGTCACCGTCGACAGCCGCGCGCAGCGCTCCGCTTCCACTCGCAGCCGCTCCTCCGCCGCGGCGACGAGGTACGCGCGACGCAGCAGGCCGTCGCCGAAGTTCTTGCCGCAGCCGCGGTCCGCGCCGCCGACGAGGTTCGCGCTCGCGACGCAGCCGGCGCCGAGCCGCGCGCCGGCGGCCTCGACGCTCCGGCAGTCGCCGTCGACGAAGATGGCGCGCGCGTGGCCGGAACGAGCGTCGAAGAGCGGCGACCGGCGGCGCACGACGCCTCTCGGGCTGGCGAGCGCGAGGCCGTCGGGCCGCTCCTTGCAATGGGCTTCCCGCGCGGCGATGGACCAGTACTCGACGCCGAGGTTGACGCCGCCGCCGCCGACGTGGATTGAGACCGAGGACATGGCTTTTATGGGTTTGAATGAGGCTCCATAAGCATGCTCTCTTGTGGCAACTTTGGCGTCGCTCGACAGATCTTGAGGGCACTGAGTCGAAGAGAGGCAACTCGAGGCACTCGAGGCGCGGCGACAGGCCGCATCCGGCCCGTGACAACCTGCTCGCTGCGCCCGCGGCGCGCGGCGTGAGCCCATCTCCTGCGCCGCGCGCGACGCGCTCGGATTCGACGCCGCCGAGGAGAGAATCATCCCTCCCTCGCTCTCCGGACCTCGAAACTCCGGAGAAACGGCTTCGGCGCGATGGACCTCGGCTTCATGGACCCGGTGCTCGTGGACCTGCCGCAGCGCGACCAGCAGCCGAAGATCGTCGCCGCGGGCCGCAACAGCACGAGCATGCAGCCGAAGATCATGCTCCCCGGCGAGCCCGCGCGGCCGCCGCGGCCGCCGGAGCGGGCCGGGAGCCCCGGCGCGGCGTTCGCGCTGCAGATGGTCGCGCCGCAGCCCATCGCCGGGAGCCGCGACTCGCTCGCGAGCCGCGACTCGCTCGACAGCGACGGCGGCGGCGGCCGCGCGCCCGACGAGGGCACGCCGCTCTCCGGCGGCGCGGCGCCCGTCGTCGAGCGCGCGTGCGGCGGCTACGGGTCCAGCGCCGGCGCGTCGAGCTCGCGGGGGTCCGCGGGCCGCGCGACGCCGGCCGCGTCCGCCGCGAGCTCGGGCCACCGGCGGCGCGTGAACTGGGGGGGCAGCGCGTCCGCGCGCCGCGAGTCGCCGGGCGAGGCCGGCTCGCTGAACGAGGAGTCGCGGTTCACGATGACCTACGAGACGGCGACGCCGCGGCTGCCGCGCCAGGTCGCCTACGCGTCGCCGTCGCGGCGCATGCGCGGCCGCCAGTACGAGCAGGTCGGCTCCGCGTCGGGCTCCGTGAGCCGGCCCGACTTCGACGACTGCCTGCGGCGGTCCGCGGCGGTGCTCCACAAGCACGTGAGCGTCTGCGAGTGGCGCCACGCGCGCGCGGTCCGGAGCCGGCCCGACACGCTCGAGACGGGCCAGTTCCGCGACAGCGCCGCCAAGCTCTTCGAGGAGAGCCGCTACGTGAGCCCCCAGTACGAGATCACGCTCTTCCACGGCGCGCCCGTGACGTGGACGGGCCTCCAGTTCCACACGCGCGCGGTGGAGCAGACCTTCGCGGCGCCGACGATGAAGGACATCTACACGTTCCTCAGCACGCTCTTCGTGCGCGCGCACCTCAGCAGCGAGTGCTCCATCGTGTGCCTCATCTACGTCGAGCGGCTCATGGAGAAGGCGAACGTGCCGCTGCTCGCGGCGACGTGGCGGCCCATCCTGCTGTGCTCCATGCTGCTGGCGTCCAAGGTCTGGCAGGACTGCGCGTCCTGGAACATCGAGTTCTCCGTCGTGTTCCCCCAGTTCTCGCTCGCGGCGATCAACGCGCTCGAGCGGAACTACGTGACGGCCGTCGGCTGGGACATGTACATCTCCCAGTCGCTCTACGCCAAGTACTACTTCGCCCTGCGGTCCCTCAACGAGAAGCACGACTTCCGCCGCAAGTACAACCGCTTCGTCCTCAACGACAGCAAGGAGCAGCCCAAGGACGCGAACATGGTCGAGCTCCGGTCCAACAAGATCCGCTCCGAGTGGGTCAAGGCGCTCTCCAAGTCCCTCTGAGTTTTGTGTAATGTGAAATCGCCCTATTCTTATTCCGCCGGGGACGCGGCCTCCTTCTCCGGGGACGCCGCGGCGTTCTTCGCCGGGGACGCGGCCTCCTTCTCCGGGGACGCCGCGGCCTCCTTCTCCGGGGACGCGGCCTCCTTCGCCGGGGACGCGGCCTCCTTCGCCGGGGACGCGGCCTCCTTCGCCGGGGACGCGGCCTCCTTCGCCGGGGACGCGGCCTCCTTCGCCGGAGCCTCGGCGGCGGGCGCCGGCGCTGTCTCCTCCTTCGCGTCGTCCGCGGCGGCGGCCGGCGCGGCGGGCGCCGTCAGCGCGATGTTGGCGAACGGGTTCGCGGCCGCCGGCGGCGGCGCGAGCGTGATGTTGGCGAAGGGATTCGCGGCCGCCGGGGGCGCCGCCAGCGTGACGTTTGCGAAGGGATTCGTCGACGCCGGCGCCGCCAGCGACACGTTCGCAAACGGGTTCGACGACGTCGGCGCCTCCGCGACGGGCGCCATCTGCGCCGGCCGCCGCGCCTTGACGATGCGCCGCGTCTTCAGCTTCTCCGCCGACGCGCGCTGGAACGTGCCCGCTTGCAGCTCCGGGTTGAAGGCGCGCGGGTCGTCGTCGGCCCGCTCCTGCGCCTCGTAGTCCTCGCGCCGCATCTGGCCGTTCGCATTGCGGCGCTTCGACATTTTTGGAACTTTTTGTGCACCTCGAGGAGGCGCGCGACGCTGGCGGCTGCGGGAGGCGATTAGACCTCGCGACGCTGGCGGCTGCGGAGGACCTCGTGTCGATGCAACACCAGTTCAAGGTCGTTGATGAAGGCCCCTGTTCGCCTCGCCTGGCGCCACGGCCTCTCGAATGTTCGTTCTGTCACTCGCTGCGACGCGGCGCTCGCTCTTTCTGCGAAAATTGGAGCCGCGCGCGCGCGAGCGTCGCGCGACGACGGCCGCGGGAATCGCGGTTCGCGTCGTTCGTCGGCGCACGACGCGGGCGTCTCGCTCGGGCTTCGCGCTACACGGCTGTCGCCGGCGTTCGGAGAGTAGCAACGCGACGCCGATGCCGCGCATTTGCGGAGGATAGGAGGCCTTCCAGAGACGCCTCCAGAGCGCCACCAACCTCCATTCGAGGTGCGATTGCGAATTAGCGAAGCCACGAGTAGGACGCCGTCCGTCGGCCTTTCGTTTACGGGGACGCGGCGACCCCCGACCCCGACTCCCCTCCCCCCTCTCCCAAATATGTCCGACCTCTCCCAGCGCCTCGAGCGGGCGAGCATCGAGGAGCACATGGACGTGGGCGACCCCGAGGTCATCAACAAGGTGTCGCCCCGCGGCGTCGAGGCCACGGGCGCCCCGCCCTTCATCAAGCGCTCGTCGGCGACGGAGGACCTCTGGAGCGACCTCGGCGCGGCCCCCGCGGCCGCCGGCGGCCTCCCGCCCCCCGCGTCCCCGAGCGAGAAGCGCGCGAGCCCGACGTTCGCGGACGCCGAGGCCGTCCTCCGGTCGCACGCGGCCGTGCGCCGCCGGTCCCACGAGACCATGAGGGTCGTCGCGGTCCCCGACGGCCGCGGCGGCACGCGCGTCGCCCTCGAGGTCCCGGCGCCCGAGCGCGCGCCCGCGGCGCCGGAAGGCGTCGGCTCGTCGATCCTCGACGGCCTCGGCCGCGTCTCGTGCTGCGACCGGCCCCGGGCCGAGTCCCGCGACGTCGCCGTCGACGACCTCCGCGACATCCCGAAGCCGCCGCCGCGCCCGGGCCACCAGCGCCTCGACTCCTACTGAGCGACCGCGGCCGGCCGCGACCGCGCGTCGACCGCGATTTTCACGACCACATCGACCACGTTTTTCACGACCACCACGTCTCGACCACGATTTTCACGACCACGTCGCCCAAGTGCTATCCACTGATTTTACGACCACTATCCACTATCAATTTTACGACCACTATCCACTGACCACGTCGCCCACGATCCGCTGTCCAGAGAGAAAAATTCGGTGACACGCGTTTTTCTCGCGCGACCACGACCACGACCGGACGCCCCCTTCTTCTTCCCCGCTGACCCACGACGACCCGACCACGACCACGGCTCCGGAACGACCACGACGCGCCGAAAGACCCACGGCGAAGGCCCGCCGCATAACCACGCGAGATAGAACGCGCCGACTCGCGCGCCGCGCTAGGATTAGTCCGCGAGCGCGCCGAAGCCGCCGAGGGACCGGCCGCCCGCCTTCTTCGCGGCGGCCCTGCTCGGCCCGCCGCGCGACTTCGCCGGCGCCGTGGACCAGCCGCCCGCGTTCGCCGGCTTGGGCTTGGCCGCGCCGGCCTTGTGCCGGAGGTCCCGGAGGTGCTTCCGCAGCGGCGCGAGGCGCGCGTCCAACTCCTCGTCCGTCTCGTACCAGCCCCGGCAGGCCTGCTCGAGCTGCGCGACGCGCGCCTCCAGGTCGTCCTTCTCGCCGAGCTTCGCCGCCTCCTGGACCGACAAGTAGCCACCTTTCGCCTTCTGCTCGAGCGCCGCGAGGGGCGCGAGCTGCTTGTGGAGCGCGCGGAGCGCCGCGTCGTGCTCGAGCTTGGGCCCCGCGCCCGCGCAGGCGCGGTCGTCCAACTTCTTCCGGTTCGCTTCCACGACGGCGCGCTGCTTGAGCGCCTTCGGCGACCCGTCCGCGGCCAACGCCTCCAACCGCGCGTCCATCTGGCCGAGCGCCCGGACCTTCTCCGGCGCCGTGAGCGCGCCGTCGTCGAGCATCCGCTTCGTCGCCTCCAGCAGCCACGTGCACTTCGCCTCGAGGTCGTCCGTGGACCCGACGCCGTAGAGCGCGTCCTCGTCGTCCGTCAACGCCTCCCGGTTCATCAGTTTCGCGTCCATGGCGACGAAGCGGCCCCGCAGCTCCTTCAGGTCGGCCATGAGCCGCTTCTTCTCGGACCAGGACCCCGCCTTCTTCTTCACGATGCGCTGGAACGTCGCGACCTCCGCCGCGCAGAGCACGTGCTCGCGGCTCAGCTCCGCGGGGCCGCTCTCGTCCGCGACGGTCTCCGACTCGTCCGCGTCGACGGCGCGCTCGCAGCGCGGGAAGACGTGGACGAAGAAGAGGTTGCGCCCCGTGTCGTGCTGCGTCTTGAAGCTCCCCGCCGACGCGAAGTCGCAGCACGCCGACTTGTCGTCCGCGTAGCCGACGCCGTTGAGCGCCGCGACGACCCACTTCTGCAGCGCCGCGTCGTACTTCTGGCGGTTCGCCTTGCCCGCGCCGACGACGAGCGTCACGCGCACCATGGCCGACAGCCGGTCCTCGCGCGGCGCGGCGAAGGCGTCCGTGATGAGTTGCGTCACGCTCGCGGCGCTCGACAGCGAGCCGAGGTCGAACTCGTCGCTCTCGAGCAGGCTCCGCATCTGGCCCGCGACGCCGTGGAACGACGCCATCGCTGCGTTCGAGACGCGGCGCTCGACGGTGACGACGGCGCTGCGGGTGGCGAGCGGCCGCGGCCTTGTGCCAACTTGTGGCAATCGAGTCTAGAATTAATCGAGGAGCCGATGGCCGCCTCCACAGACGACGACGAGGCGCGGCGCCTGGCCGAATTGATCGGCGGCGACAGCGACTCGGACGAGGAGGAGACGGATGCGGACCGCCTGCGCATGGCCCAGCTCCTCGGCCGGCGCGGCATCTCCGACGAGGCCTCCGACGACGACGACGCGCCCGTCGTGACGACGCCGGCGCTCGTGCCGCGCGCGCCGCCGGCGCCGCCGCAGCTCGTCGTGCTGCCGCCCGAGGTGCGGAGCGGCACGAAGCGCAACCCCGAGGTCGGCGGCATCGGCGCGACGACCGCCGAGGGCCCGGGCCTCGCGGCCGCGGCGCGCGACCGCGCGCGCGCCGCGGCCGCCGCGGCCGCGCCGTCGGGCGTCCACGGGCCCGAGCCGCCGCCGCCGCCGCGGCGCGCGCCGCCGCCGGAGCCCCTCGTCCAGCACCTCTTCGACCGCGCGCTGGACCGCGACGGCGACGCGACGTCGTCGGACGAGGACGTCGACGTCGCCCTGGGCCCCGACGCGGCGCCGGCGGGGTTCGCGGAGACGCCCGCGACCGTCCCCGACGAGCCCGTCGTCGCCGTGCCGGAGCCGCCGCCGCCGCCGGCGCCGGCGTCGACGTCGCGCCTCGCGCCCGAGCGGCGCGCGTCCGCGGCGCTCCTCGAGCGCATCAACGACCGGCTCCACGCGCTCCAGAACGACGAGGCCGTCGACGAGGACGAGCTCGACCTCAGGCGCGACGCGCCCGTCGTCGTGGAGAGCGACGAGGACGCCGCGGTCTTCTGCCGCGCGGCCGCGCTCGCGCACGACGTCGCGACGGCCGGCGGCTGCGAGATCGAGGTCGACTTCGTGTGGGAGAACGAGGCGCGCGACGACCCGCGGTCCGCGGGCCAGGCCCTCGCGAGCATGGCGGGCCGCTTCGCGAAGAAGGGCGCGCCGCCGAGCCCGCCGCCGCCGGACAAGCCCTGGCGGCCCGCGGAGCCCGCGATCCGCAACTTACCGCGCCGCGTGCAGCCGCGGCGGCGGCCGCCCTTCGAGTGCCCCGCGCGGCCGGCGCTCGCCCGGTGCTTCGTCGGCGGCCCGCCGGCCGACGACGCGGGCCTGCCCAACGGCACCTGGCGCTGGCTCAGCCCCTGGCAGGTCGACTCGCGCGTCCACGGCAGCGACCGCCGGTCGGCCGCCGACGCGCCGCCGGACGCGTGGCTCTACGCGCGCGCGTGGCCGCCGGACGACGTCGGCTACGACCACGTCGAGGAGAGCGCGAAGAAGGTGCGCTGCCGCCGCTGGGTGCGGCCGCGCGAGCGCGTCGCCGTCGCGCCCGTCGTCTCCGCGCTCCTCGACGCCGGAGCGCCCGCGGCGTTCCTCGCCGCGGAGTTCCGCCGCCGCGCCAGGGGCGACGTCCTCGACGTCGACGCGGCGCTCGCGGCGCTCCCGCCGAAGCCGGCGCCCGCGCCGGCGGCCGCGCCGCCGCCGCCGCCGCCGCCGCCGCCGCCGCCGGCCCGGTCGCCGCCGAGGACCGCGCCCGACCTCGGCGACGGCGTCACCATCGACTACGTCTGGGAGAACCAGCGCTGGCGGCCGACGGGCGTCCAGGGCCAGGGCACCTGGGACAACGGCGCGCTCCTGCGCCGCGCGCCCTACGACGGCGGGTCCCGCGTCGAGCTCGGCCGCCTCTTCCGCAAGCACGGGGGCCCGCCGTCGATGGAGGCGGAGCTCGTGCCCGAGGACTCGGGGCTGCCGCTCGACGGCGACGAGGGCAGGCGGTCGACGGCCTGGCGCTGGCTCGGGCCCTGGGTCGTCGACTCGCGGTCCTTCGGCGCCGAGCGCGTGCTCGGCGCCGACGAGCCGGAGCCCGGCGCCGACGGCTGGCTCTACGGCTTCGACTGGCCGCGCGACGGCGCGGGCTACGCGGCGCGGCCGACGCCGCGGTCCTTCGTCCGCTGCCGCCGCTGGGTCCGGCCCCGGGAGCCCCTCGACGCCGGCAAGCCGCCGAGCCGCTCCCACTCCGAGGAGGACGGCCTCATCCCCATCGACGACCCGGGCGCGCCGCCGCCGCCCCGCGCGTCGAACGTCAAGCTCTTCTCCTGAGTTTTCTTCTATTTAAGACATGTGATTCCTACTTCGGCGGCGGCGCGCCGGTCGTCAGCCAGCGGAAGAGGCCCCGCCGTCGCGGCGACTCCGGCGCCGCGTCCGCGGGCGACGCGGCGGCGGTCGCGCCCGCCGCGCCGCCGTCGTACTCCCAGCGCGGCGTCGCCTTGAGCTCCCAGACGGGCGGCGCCGCCGGTGCCGAGACCTCGTCGCCGCCCGCCGCCGCCGCCTCGGCGCGCCGCCGCGCCTCGCCGCCGCGCATGCAGGCCCACATGGCCGCGGACAGCCTGCGGCAGTCGTCGAACTCGCCGATGCGGTAGATCGCCTCGAACTGGTGCTTCGGCGTCGCGCAGGCGTAGAGCGCGTCGAGCTCTTCCCAGCACCCGCTCTTCTGCGGCGGCGCGTCGGCGGTCGTCGCCATCGCGGAATCTGCTCCCATTTCTCGAACTACTTGCTGCAACTTTACTTCAACGAAATACAGCCGAAGAGGTCATGGAGCGCGTAGCGTCGCGCGTCCGCGCATTGCGCGAGGGCGACGATGCTGCGAAGACGGCGGCGCGCCTAGTGGGCACCGGCGGGGGGCTCGTAGGGCTCGGAGCAGAAGGTGTCCTCGGCGCAGTAGCAGCCGAGGTCCGGACGCCGCGCGCGGCGAGGACGTCGTCGTTGAACGGGCGCCACGCGGCGGTGAGCGCGTCGGCGGTCATGTTCGCGTCGAAGCGGTAGAAGGCCCCCGCCGCGACGATCGCCCCCGGGAAGATCGTGGCGAGGAGGCTGTCGTGGAAGGCGGCGTCGTGCTCGCGCGAGCGGGGTCGATTTTTTGGGCGAAACCAAGTGGGCAGACACTATATGGGACGCGGGGCGGCACTATGAGGAAGGGGATGATGTGCGAGCGTGAGCGTGGGCGTGGGCGAGTCGTTGATGTCTCAGAGCAGCGAGGCGTGAAGGCTGATGGCTCTTGAAAGGTCGATCGCGAGCCGGAGACCGCCGGCTGCACGCGTCCGAGCCCCGTCCGTGGGGTTTGCCTTGACGCGTCTCAACGTAGGGGACCCGGTTGCCCGGGGCCGGCTACGGCAGCGGCCAGCCCTACGGCCAGCCCGGGCCCGACGACCATGCGCGACCACCGCGCGGCCGCGGCCGGCGACGACGTCCGACCCCGAGCACGAAACTCATACCACCCGTCCCACAATAACGACAACAAGGTCCTGATTGCCGAGATCGGCGGCTTCCGCTGCTCGTCGCCGTTCTGCGGGACGGAAGGGATTGCGCTAAATCGGAGGCCAGGTGGGCGCTACGGAGCCTCGCGCGCAACAACGAGGCCAACGCGGTCGCGATCGCGGCGGCCTTCAGCTCCGACGCGCTCGTAGAGCTCGCGCGGCGCGGCCGCGTGACCTTCGCCGGGGAGCCTCGATGGATCTCGCCGCTTCTGTCCAATGCAAGCATTCCCGCCAAGCGAAAGGCCGCGCTGGTCGTCGCCGTGCTGCTCGGCGGCTGCGTCCCCGACTCCGCGCGGGACCGAGTCCCGGACGTCATCAAGGCCGCCATCGGGTCCTATCTTTGATATCCGTCATTGATAATCTACAAGCATCCACTTTGTGACCCAGGGCTGGGCACATGTGGTGCTACTTATGCGGCCGCGGCGCCCGCGCCGCGCGTCCGGGTGTCGCACGCGGTTCCCGGGGGCGCTCGCGCGCCGCCTCGCGTGTTCGTGCCGATCTCACGTTCCGTGTCCGGGGGGCGCTCGCGCGCCGCCTCGCGTGTTCGTGTCGATCTCGCGTTCCGTGTCCGGGGGGCGCTCGCGCGCCGCCTCGCGTGTTCGTGAGGAGCCGGTTCCGACTCGTCCGGGGGCGCTCGCGCGCCGCCTCTAGGCCGTCCGGAGCTGCTTCGGGGACGCCGGGGCCGCGGGCGGCGCCTCCCTCTCGCCGGGCGCGTCGCGCTTCTTCGCCGGCGCCGGCGGCTCGAAGGTGTCGGCGGCGAGCGCGGGCCGCGGCTCCGCGCGACGCGCGACCTCGACCGTGTCCCCCGCGTCGACGTCCATGGCGCCCGGCGGCGGCGGCGGCGGGACGTAGGGCCCGCGCGGGCGCCGCGACCGGCCGCGATTGACGACGCAGCATCTGTCGTCGCACCAGTCGCCCTTGGCGTGGTCGAAGGCGAAGGCGCGCTCGAGGCCGACGCCGCGGGGCGTGCCCCGGAGGTCGGCGTAGTCCGCCCCGAGCCAGTGCAGGATCGTCGCCGCGACGTCCGAGTTGCGCACGTCGTCGTCCAAGATCTCGCCGCCCGGGTCGACGCGCGGCGGCGCCTTGGTCAGCAGGAACGTCGCCGCGTGGGCCTTCAGCAT